TGTAAACACAGACGGCAGCGTCGGTGTGGAATGGGCTGGGAAGGTGTGAATGAGTTAGGAAAAAGTCGTAGTGTAGATTGCAGAAGGTGAGAGCGAGATAAAACATTTCGGTCCATTAATTCATATTTCATCTTGCTTTTCGGCACATCCACAGCACTCTACACATCGAGTATGTGAGTCAAAACTAGCGGTTTTCGTGGCCTTCATACTTGTTTTTAAACACACCATGCATACCATTCAGATATCTCTTTCATCCATCAGTTATTTGCCATCCTTTGCCAATGTAGCCCAACTTTTGTCCTGACCTAAATTATTTCTTTTATTATACCTTTTACGCTGGAACCAAATCATCATGGTGTTTTTTATAAAAAACACAAGCAATTTTCTTCTTAAATTACAAACATTTTCCATGACAGTTTTTAAGGATATTACTGAATTTTTGGGAAATTATGAAAATTTCTGTGCGTGTTTTCTTATAATAAAATGAATGTGATGTAATTTTTCAGAAATTGGAGAATGGTTTCGCTCTGGTGCAGAGTCGTATTAGTGGATTATCTGAAAAGGAATCGTACGATGTTTTGCTTCAAATGGCCGGCGAAACTAAGGTTCATCAGTAAATACAGATTCAAAATAATCGTGCATCGAGCATAATTTTTATTCCTTGATACGTAATCTTTTAAATATGCCATTAAGTATTTCAGCTTTTATGCATTTTTTTGAAAAAGAATAAAAAACACGTTATTTGTTGGGGAAATATGAGTGAACAAGCTTAAGTTAAAAAGTCCTAGAAACGTTGACAGATGTGTTTACTGACAGTTAGTGCTAATCTCGCACAGAAATCGAGGTTTCGGCTTCACCACTGAAGCAGCAATCAGTCCTCCCACCACTCATTCATTTTGTAGTAAATTGGTACAGCCACCAGCATCAATTTTTTTGGAAAAGGGAACCCATCGATTGCCTGGTCAGTTATGAGTATCGGCTATTGGCATTTGTGCTATCACTACTTTACGTGTTCAGTTCGCACATCAGTGGGATGGAACGATTCCATGTGTTGCAAAAGGAAGAAGCAGCGAGTAACAAGGAAGCAAAGTTGGAGGCTAAATCCCCTTCGCCTTGTTTCCTAACCCATAAGGGTTCCTACTTTTACTTCTCTTACCTCGCCGTTTTCGCAGAGCGTGCGGATCATAACAAATTCACATGACACACTGTTTTTTGAACATCTCTGCAACACCACTATCTTCTTTACCTTATTTTATATACCTCCCCCTTCCAATCGAATTAAATGGTCACCGGATTTTGGATCGACGCCCTCTTATGGGACGGCCTCTTCAGAGTCATCCAGTACCGGTGCAGCCCTTACGGGTTCCTAACCCATAAGGGTTCCTACTTTTACTTCTCTGGCCCCGCCGTTTTCGCAGAGCGTGTGGATTATAACAAATTATTGATGCTTCGAGCATTATCATCATCTGGTTCCAAACGTAATCTCTTTTATAGGCCACCAGGAAAGGTTAGGGAGAGCGAGAAAGAACCACTTTTGAGATGTATTTGTTTCAGGTTTTTGAAACGATAACCGGTGGACTTGTGTATGGACTGTTGACAGAACCTTCGAATGCTCATAAGGTTGTATTGGTTTATGGTTGAAAATAATTTGCCGATTATTTGTCAAAAGTTGCATAACTGTACAGGAATGGAGGATTTAGCGTAGCTATTACTCGACACACGGCTCGCATCGCAGCAAAATCAGGAGAGTTCCAATATCAGTAGTATAGGCGCTGACATTCCAGTAACTTTGGTAGATCTACACAATCGCAAACATCTGAGAAAAGCCAGTAGAAATTTCGAATTTGCACGCTTAGTAAAGTAACAGTTAACGATTCACTGGAGCACGACCATACATGTAGTTTGTAACGGTTTTTTCGGTTGTTATGAAGGACAGCAGTTACTGTAACAACGGTTACGATGTGAAGATTTGGAAGACAGTGAAAAATGAGGAATAGAAGGATTTCACTTGAATGTCATGTGTGTATGAAGACATTTTATCACGCAGTCTGTGTTTCATCCTTTAGCTGTATACACGTAGATCGAACTGTGCGTGCGGGTAGGAGTAGAAATCATCAATACAGCCTCTAACAGTGAAAAACGAGAAATTCGATTCCCGCCTCTTGCTGATTTTTGTAAAAGGAGATGGGGATAAATGAGGTGGGCTCGGCATTAGCGCAGCCAGACTGGCCAAACTGTTCGTTAAATACATCATAGCTTTACGATTATAATTACTTTATGTGCTACTGAAATGAGATTCATTGCACATGTTTTCATCTTTTTACGTGGCAATACAAATAGCAGAAAGCGAGAGGAGAAATAATAAAACGAGACAGTCCAGCTGACACAGACAAAATTTTATAGGCATACCCATATAGTTTTTATTTACGTTGACAGTTGAAAATTTCAATACTATTTAAAATCGCCAAAAATAAATAAAAAAGCAACATTGCATTTTTGACAGTCGCTATGGGTA